AGCACACAGAGTTTTTACACTAGTAGCAGTATATGCCACAACAATGTCATCTCTGCAGTGCTGACATGGCTGTATGGGTGCTTTGCCAATAATGGGGAGGGCAGGGAAATCTCTAGGTACTATCCATATAGATTAGACTTTTGCAGCTGTCACAGAATAGTCAATACACCTCTCTTTCCAGTTTATACAGAAATTTTAATGAGTGTGGAAAAAAAATTTAGAAAGTCTGATGGCTGGAGAAATTAAGTCTTCAAAGTTCAAGACACTATGGGAACAATTCACTAAAGCATGCAAGACACGTAGCTATGATCACAACGCACGTTAATGGCTGTCGATAAGAAATTAGACGTCAAACGTCCTGGAATCTCAGCCCAATATTTCTGTATGGAACCTAAAAAAATTCTCCAGTGCATGTTTTCTTGTTTAAAAAGCAGCATTCTGACTAGTTTATTAAACACAGAATTAATTGGCTAAGCAATAACAATAAACAAATGTTTCCATTCAAATCAGCAAATCCAACTTGTAAGTTACTAGCATAAAATTCGACTGTATGTTACTAGACTACTGAATCCAGTGAAAAATTCAGCAATCACAACTGAAAATCCTGAAGAAAATACCTGAAGCAGGTATGTCAGGTCACTAACTCCAAGGAGCATTTCCCTTTACTCATTTCAGTTTACCAGTAACTGACTTTCAACAGGGAATTGTTACTTGCATATACTCCCATCCCTGCCTCGCCGTTCAATTCGGGATAAACTTTGGTAAGATGGCAACTAGTTCCTGAACCACATCTACATTCATTTCCATTCACTTTAAGATGGTACCTTTAGAAATAATGTGATTTATTAACTAATAACTGACATACTTACTGTTTTTCTGAACAATTCTAATTCATTTTCTGTATAGTCAGATGCCATTTTAGTTACTTCAGTTTCTGCCAAATTCACCTACAAAAAAAAATATTCAAACTGAAATAAATTGCCTTTGTATTTCTACACCACAAACTGTAAAAGATCCTCTGGGGTAAAGAACACATCATCTTACAATTAACAGAAATGTCAATTCTTTAAGTGGCATGAAAGAGGCTATTCCTTAAAGATGGAATTCGATGGTACTTGAGTCCTTTCTTTAAAACCCTGATCTTTCAGCCACACGTTCTCCACAGCTGCCTCTGCTCAGTCCAAGCTCTTAAACAATCCCACCTCCCCCCTATAGAGCCAATATAGAATATAATAATATATTAGTTATACTATATAGAAGAATAGTAGATACTATATACTATATATATACATACTATTTAGTAGAACTAATATATTACACCAGGATACTGTGCTAGACAGTAGCATTAACTATGTTATAACAAACATTTTTGTTTCATTGTGAAAAACTGTTACTGATATTTCATATTCTTATTGCACATGCTACTGCTATTTACTGCTAGCTCAACTTAATTGGCAAAATGACTCAGAAAGGTTAAAAGCAGGAGCTAATTTTAGAATACCTCCTGTATGGTCTTTTGAAATTACTATATAACCTTCCCTCTGACACAAGCATCTAGGGAAACTTTTTATAGGCCATTCCTTAAGCAATGTTTTTGTGCTAGGTTGACTTTTGAGTAAGAGAAAAAGAAAACTAATGTTGGAGGGCTCTCCACCTTTTCTAGCTTAAAAATTCCTCTTCAGAAAGAAATTCTCCTGTGAAAAAGAAATATCACTTCAGCACATAAAGCAATGTTCATGCTAACTAAATCCGACGCTGCTGCAGTCCTTGCTGCCGTGTTCCATCCGCACGCACGTAGGCTGCTGCCACTTTATCCTCCCACTTCCCTGTTCCACACGTAGCTCCTACAGCAGCTGCTGGCACAGCACTGGAACAGCCCCACATAACCCACCCATACGTACTAAAGCATAATGTGCTCTCCCGTCATCCTCCGACATTCCTTTCCGGATCTGCATAAACAAAGGCTGTAGATGGCTGTTGATAGCACTGATGAAATCATCCAGTTTATCATGCGCATAGTAGACTGAAAAAAGGAAAAGCACATACACAAAACCCTCAAACAACTACATATCAAGCAGATCTTTTTATGTCTTATCTGCTGAATCATGTTTTTCCTCCATAAAAGCTAAAAGTCAGTGAGGCAGAATTCCAGCAGGTCTGTTATATTCAGCAGACATACCATTCTCTGTGCTGCTGACTACGAGCCTTCAGAGAAGCTCAGCTCCTTCAAAGTCAGAGTTTAAAGAGAGAGTCCAGATATTCTGCCTCACAGTATGGAACCCACCACATCAGTCCATTAATCACGGTGACTTGAACTAAGCTGAATTGAAAATAAAACACGAGCAAGAAAAAATATTGTGCACAATACAAAAATATACTTGCTTGCTTTCATTTACACACAAGAGATTCCAACAGATTCCTTGTTTCTTTGTGTTCTGTTTCATGAATTAATGGCATGCAAATGATCAAGTTACACACCAGAAAATTTAAAATTCTAGCGTTGTAGAAGTACAGGTAATACCTTGTGTTCTGTTCTACAAACAAATTAAATACCAGCATAAGTTCTATCCTAGACATAATTAAGATGGACTTTGCAGTCGTTCCGTGGAAGCAGATGCCATGGCTTTTGCTTGCACAGCAACAGCACACACACTCAAGAGTTTCCATCCAAAACAAAATGATGTCAGTGACAAAACTGTTGACTTCACCAGGCTAGGGTTTAAAAAAGAGTTGAGTAACAGCTCAAAACTTTAGAAAAATGATCGATGTCTCAAAAACACTCCCAGTTATCACTAACTTGATACTATTCTCAGTTGCAAGAGCCAAGCACTTGTGTAACGGCATCAGACAGGTCCCACGCTCAAAACCCCACTATACTTTACGGCATAGTACAACGCACAAACATCAGTCACAGCATACTCCTGCCCAGAAAGCTCACGATTCTGATATATAAGACTCCTTAAGTGAACAAAACCAACAAACAGCAAGAACACTAATACAGTAAGGATAATATTAAAAAAAGGATAATATTAAAGAAAGGATAATATTGAAGAAAGGATAATATTAAAGAAAGGATAATATTGAAGAAAGGATAATATTAAAGTAAGCCACCTGCCTGGCACCACTCTGCATACATCAAAGCCAGGGAACGTTAATGACAGATCAAAAGAAGGTAAGTTGAAAGATAACAGAAGAATATTCTTTTGTACAACAGATGAATGGCTGCTCTAGTGTATCTTCTGTCAAAAAAAAGGGATACAAACTCTCCATAAAAAATGAACGGGAGACAGATCACACCAAAAGCTGCACTTTAAAATTTTAACATCTAAAAAGCTGGTCAATTTACAATTTCAGATTCAGAAGGAGAAATTATAAATGCCCTTTACTATTTGGAAAAGCTTGTAACTTACCTCTGTGAAATAGTTCTTGTACAGGCAGCCATAGCAACTGATTGAATAGAAACTGTTTATTCAAGTATATTGCTACTGAAAACAAGTCATTTACTGTCAACAGATTTGATGAGAAATTAGACAAACCAACCTGATCTTCATTCAGTAAGTATCCACAATATTTGTATTCTGACTTTGCATGTACAGGAATCTCTTTCTCCTTTTCTCTTCTGGTAAAATATCTCAGAGGTGTCAATACTACTTCAAAAGACTGTTTTTAAGAAGATCTTGTTGTAACATGAGCGTGTTAGATGCCTTACAGCCAGGACTACCCTACTTCCAAAATACTGGATTAAATGTTAGAACTAAGTCCATTTCCAATAGCTTCCCCTGTAAACTGTGATACCTTTAAAAAACAAAATAAAATCTAAAACTTTAGTTACAATTGCTGTAAATTATTTTTTGTAACAGAAATAAATAATTTCCTGCTCTAGGGCATAAAATGAAATCTCAACTAATAACTATATCACAGATGTACTTCTTGTAATCTGTTTTCAGTCAAATAAAATTAAAGCAAGTAGCTATTCCGGTACCCAATTATGAACACAACAAAGTTGTTCACAGCATTTAAAACTGAGTATATGCAAGAACCAGGTATTATTCTTTCTGCCAATAAACAATTCTCAGCCCTGAGTGCTTAATAAAGGTAACACATGACAGCATTAGCAAGAGAGCTCATTATGTTACCCTAGAACACTGCCTGGGAGCATTTTCTTTAGAAGAAATTATTTCAGTTCAATAAGAGCAGATGAGGAAATATGACACATCAAACAGTAAATAAATGGAACACAATATTCTGGGGTTTGGAGGGGTTTTGGTTTTGTGGGGTTTTTTACCCCTGAATTTAAACAAAGTCTTAATAATAAACTCCACAGAAAAACTGAAAAGATCCCTCACTGAGGATAAAGCAGAGGTGCTCAGAGAAACCAGAAACTTTCCTGAATGTGTCTGTAAGCAAATTATAAACAGCAGCCAGCAAAACAAATGAACTTACACTCGTGGTGAATTATCACTTTTCAACAGGCACTGTTTCAAACTTTCTTGCTTAAAGACAAGTGAACAACAGAAACCTTTATTACTAAGATTAGTCTGAGATGCCACACCTTCATGATAAATTTAAAAATATACTGGCACCATTGTAAAATTAGAGCTCCCATGTTTACAGCAAAAGACTACAAATAAGCTGAGTGAATGCTTCAAAAGGAAAGAGAAAGGACCTTTACTCATATAAAACCTAAACACGCAGTTGTAATATCTATGTCCTTCACCTTCCACGTTCTCTGTAACCAGAAGACTAAGCACAATTCTAGTCTGCAAAGTCACATGATGAAAATGTCGTGTTTTTCCTCTACTTTGATGACACTGAGCAGATGTAACATAAGCCACCGAGAAGACGTGTTGTTATGTACAGCTGATTTTCAAGATCAAACCGTATTTTAAAAACTCATAACTATACAACAGCTTTTGGCATAGAGTTAATCAGTTTGCAGGCCTTATAATTAAACAAAAATCTAGAACAAACCATGAAGAATAACATGGTAAATTACTTCTGATTTTAAGTCACTGATGATCAGTTTTCATTTCACGGAAGAATAAAAGAATAAAACATTCAGAAAAGATAGTTTCTTAGAGTAAAAAAACATCATGCGGTTTGCATCCCCGTGTCCCGTCCCCCCCCACTTCCTTCGGTTACTCTTTTAGTACAAAGAAGATTAATGTAAGAAGCAGCTCCCTATCGGGATTTGGAAATGCTGCCATCTAACTTTCTTATAGCTAAAAAAACTGAAGCAACTGGACCATTATCAGTAGGAGAATCTAAAAGCTTGTTTACAAAGTACTTTAAAAACAAAACGTTCTTAATTACACTTTGCAACAATATGTTGTACAGTATTTTTTTCTTCTTCTTTTAAACAGCATCAAAACCAAGCCAGAACACTTCCTTCTAACAGCACAAAGTGTTACACGCAAGTACACAGAACCAGGCAATCCCTGCCTCAGACAGCTGAACGACATCTGAACTATGGACTAGGCTGTCATTCACTGTTAACTACTTCATACGTATCCTTCTTTACATCATTTTACACTCACAGGAAACCACTCACATTAAACCTCTCTCTATACGTACATCTACGATACGTGTTCCAGCCTTCCCATGAAAAACAGAATCACTGGGAAAAAGAACAAGTCACTGTTTCCAGCAGCATACTGCAACACAACAACCTAGAATAAAAACAATCGGACTGCAAAGGAGTTTAGGGAGGGAAAATACTCAGTTATTCCAGTGGTGCAGATAGATTTTCACCAGCACTGCAATACTGATACCCTTGAAAAGTTGTAATAAACTTCAGTAAGGACTCTTAGCCAAGACTTCAGTTTTAAAGTGTAACCACTAACCCACTACCTGAGTGATGACTAACTCCTACACTGTGCTACAATGCTGCTTTAGTACAACGTGCGACTGACACATCCAATCTTTTTTCAGACTTCTTAAGCCAGGAAGTATTGAATTTTGACCCAAGCGATATAGTCAGTCTTCATTACCAGAGCATCTAAACGAGTAATCGATAAGCTGCTTCTACATTTTATGTTTCAATCCAGCTACAAGTCATCTGATGCGCAGAAAACAATATTTAGCAGAAAATATGGCCTGTGTTACAGGGGACACAAAAATAAATTACTTCGTTCTGCCCTTAAATTCTATGGATAAGTAGGTACCGATCACAGCAAACACAGAACAGCCCCTGTAGAGTGGGCAGCACTGGGACAAGATACAAGAATCCTCCTAAGCCTGGCAGGAGCATGGCTGGCAGAACTGGTACGGGGCAACATGATGCAGATGAGACGGGAGAAGTACAGCCATCCACCAGAAAACCACCTCATCCTCACCAAAACATTTCCTCGGGATTCACTTCTCCCACAACATGTAAGAGAAGTAACTAAGTGCATTTAAAAACGTTCACAACACTGATCAGGAATCGTGTGACCTCGCTGTCTGCGCTCCCACTGATTTTCCTCAGTCCCTTTTCTGTCGGTGCTTTGTTATATTCTTCATCGTCTACACAAAAATGCCTGGTTTGAGCAGCCAAGAGCCATGTTTTCTTTTTCTAGTTTTGACATACCTGATGGACTATAAAGCAAAATATGAAAACAACAGTTCAGTGGATTTGTCTGTTGTTTTGCAATGCAAACACTTCTCTGGTAACACAAAACATAGACTTCAGATGGTTATCTGCAAATTCCACCACAGATAAGAGAAATTCCCCTAAGTTCTAGCTGAACTTTGCAGACAAGATGTAAGCATAATGAGCACACTGGGTCACACATAGGAGCAGCTGCTGGGGCTTCTCCTAGAATACTGAATACTAAAAGCCATACAAAACATGCAAAGCAAACATGTTTGTCTATTCTGTGAATCCCTGCTTCTCATGGATAACTTATTTAGTGAGTCCTTCAACAGCCAAGCACGAAATGCATTATGCTCAAGAAATCGGTAGGACTATAAACTAAAGTTGACACTAACAGTTATTTTCTTCTGAGTTCACCTATCGAGCCAGTTAAATAAAATACAAAACACAGTTAGACAAAAGCCAGTCTGATACAATCCACATTAATAATTAATTGCTATACTCCTTCTGTAAATCCAAATAGGCAGAAAAAAAGTTTTCTCTCATTCTTCCATTTTTCTAAACGTCCTTTCATATACAGACTATATCAGCCATTTTTCTAATGAACTTCACTGTAATACAATACACAGTTACATTTTGTAATTAATTTTATAAATACTACCTGATATTGTCCTTCAGTAAATACAGCCATTCGTTTGAAAGGCAACTTGATTTTGTTCCTGCAAATTATCCTTAAGTTCATCAAATTACAGCAAAAGAAAATGTATCTCTGTTTTCTGTTAACCTTCTGGCCATGAAGAAGATGGCAAAGAAAATGCTTGTGAATGACCATGTCTTTGGAAAATAAAATGCTGGTCACAAAAATGCCTAATATTGTTCTATTTAAATAGTCATCAAATGAAGATGTGCTGAACCCAAGAAAAAATAGATCAACTTGGAAATTTATCAAGGCATAGAGAGCACACGAATCTCAATATTTATTTCATGATCTAAAAAAAAAAAAAGTCATGCTATTTCAGAGAGAAATTTGTTTTCCAAGGCACTGGCACCATCTTTCCAGCTGTACTATTTACAGTAGCATAAACCCAGAGCTTCAGTTATTAAAGAACTTCAGCTGGCTTGGAAGACAGAAGGAAAAATAACTACAAACTCTCCTATTTTTACTGTTTCCTGATCTCAGGCTGGGGTTAGGGTCAGAATAATATTCCATGTATTTTCCTGCTACAGATAGTGTCTTGTAAAGGAATCCAACAACAGCCAACTGAGATAGTACCACTTCCCTGAGGACACAAACAAAGGGAAAGGGAGTTTGCACCACAGACACGCACGTAGCCACTGCAGAAGGGATGCTGCGAATGCGGCGGTCCCTCCGCTGCCACGCAGTGCCAGGGATCTGATCTGCACGACGTCCTCAGCTTTGCGCTTCCGTTTCCACTATGACGTGTTTCACAACTAGAGAGGCTGTAACAGCGCAGACAGAAACAGCCTGCATGAAGGGATCCCAGTAAAAAGTACTAGCAATTCCAAATTACAATAACCTTCCTCAACAAGCCTGCAATTCATATCCTAACTGCATCGCACACTTCCTAGAGGTCCTACGCAGCATTTCAACAAATGTCTGGAGCTTTGCCTTCAGAGCTGTGTGCAGATTTTAGCACAGGCACTTGTCTGCTAACAGGAAGCACGCAGGTGATACACAAAAAATACGGTGCCTCCTGGCCAAAAGGCTCAGGATTTTGAAATAAGCAAGAAGAGAATGTGCCAAACACCGGGAGGGAAAGTTTTTAGATCATTTTGCTCAGAGGCTGGACGGGCTGGTTGACTTGACTTCATTTGACGCAGCTTTTTAAACCTTTTGTATTTAAGGAAACCAGTGTCACAGATAGGAGACAGCCCTGTTATATAACACTTACAACCTTCAGGAGAAAGGAATTAATTCAAATGAGCTAGTTTTAGTAACATTAGCTTTGATCTGATTTGAAAACTACTGTTCCAATTGCATTATTAAGCTGTATTTTAAGAAACTACATCAAAATCAGAACTTTGTCTAGAAACAGCCCAGTCAGGCTGTTGCCTCATAAAAATGCCATTACCATGATCTTGTAAACTGTGATACTGCTAACTTTGCCCCTAATAAGGATGGGTTCACCAAATCGTTGGTTCTTTTATTCATAAAACAAATAGGAGGGGGGAAGCGTTCCATTCAGCAAGTCAAGTTCAACACCTTTTGCCTCCCAATATGACAAAAAACTTTCCTAGGTAGAGCATTCAGCAAAACTGTAACAGTTAAAACTCCCACACTGTACCTGCATAATTTCACAAACTTTTCCATTGCACGTCAATTGTCACTATGCAGAAAAAACATCAAGTAGTTGGCAGGTAGCAGCTGCAAGGGAGCCATTTTTTTCTAAATCCTTCTATTAAATAAAGCTTCCTAATGAATAGTAACTCTATCAGCTCTTCCTGCAGTAGAGCTCACTGGTCCTGCATACTGGAAACACCATCTAGCTGTACCGTTTCTTTTTGTTAAGGTTTTTTGTCCTCACCACACAATAAACTCATTATAGCCATGCTATTGGCTTAGGCCATCTCCAGCATTTATGATAAATTCTTTTACAAATCACAGTGGCTTGGCTCTCACAAACACAGGATTTAACCTGCAAAAAGCAATGGTGTTTTTCCACAGTTTCATTTTTTCAGTCAGAAGTTTGGGCTGGTGTTGAAATAAGCTCTTTTGGCTCAGGAGAGTTTGAAAACCTATGGAGTCTGACTCCTTTTAACTAAGGAAAATACATAAATAGCGCCGTCGCCCAGAAAGGACTCCACCGGGCAACAAGGCAAGGAGTTCACAACCGGTTGTACGCACCAGTGACCAGCGCCTCTTCTCTCTCGCCAGAGAGAAAGAACAGTTAGCAGCGCTGATGCTGAAGTTACTATCCCAGTTAGCCACCAGCGACTGAACGGTTCCGTTCTCCCGCTCTCGACAGACTTACACAGATGTCCTGAACTGACTGAACCCCGCAAATAACTGTCAAGGCGGCTTTTATTTTTAAAGGTGTAAATACTTGAGAACTCGAAAATAACCTGAGATGAATATTTAGTGCGTATCAGATCTCAGAAGGCGCAACTCAAACAGCGTTTGCAGGAGTTACCTGCCTTTCAATAGTAACGGTTTAATCACTAATTTGAACTGCATTTGGGTGCATCCTTTTAAATGGCACTTTTTGTTCTCAAACATTACTTGTCCTTTTCGATTTTCTTCATAAATAAAAGATGAAGACAGAGGAATTTTATTCTTTCACTATTTTCTAAGAACCAGCAACCGACACATCTAATACCTACTGATTAATTAGCACTAAACACCTCATTCATTGCAACTTTATTCCAGTTTGTGCCCACCATGTTTCAAAAATTAGTGAAGATGAAATACAGATCTCTGATCTGTAAGCAGATGGCAGAAAAAAATCCTCATCAAGTTGATTACACTTTTCTATACTATTTAAGTTTGAACATGAACTTCAAACAGATTTGATGGTATACAACCGAATTTTTGTTACATGTGCCATAAAATTCATCTTGGTGTAGCACATATTAAAAATAACCAGGTGACCACATAATTGGTCAGATGTGACAGATTTACTCAAGATGGGTAACAACATACATTTCATACCATATTCCAAAGGAAATCTTTCCAAATAAGTATGAAGGAAAACGTTCTGGAAATTTCAGCACTATCAGTGTCAAAAAATATGGGTTTTTTTACATGCATAATCTATAATAAACCTCTTTGCTAAAATTAAAAGTGCTCTGTATGAGTCTGAACTGATTAAAACTTATTTCTCACTGCTGTGTTACTCTATCTTTTAGGAAAGAGAAAGAACACTCACATCATTCATATTTTTAACACTTTTTTTTTAGATGGTGTATGCTTTTCAGAAATCTAATTATTTGTAAGCTGCACCGGGAAAAAAAAATAGTTCTTCCATCTCCCTACTTTTTCTCTGAAAGAGAGACATACCTTTATGGATTTCACAGCAGCGCCTGTGCAATTTTCTAGCCTCTGACCCTTCCATTATCCCATGAGACATCAGGACCTGCAAGAAGCGCCGATGAGCATCAGTTATCTGAGCTGCCATTGCAATATTCCACCAGGCTTCAAACACTGCAAGAGATGTAAGCTGGAATCAATGCATACGTTCACGTAAATTCAAAATACACAGTCCAAGCATGCATAAGATTTCAATTAAACTCTCTAACATCGAATCAGGGGAAAAAAGCAGATCCTCCAAAGCTGTTCTCAGAATACAAGTGGTGACTAACTCCAAGGTTCTAGAAGGATGCAAAAGCCCAACTAATGTTAGTTACAGAACAAAACACAAGCATTGTGCTATCACACCCCAAACCAAAACCAGTAGTGTTGTATGCGTACAATAAACAGAACACCTTGCATAGTTTTGTGCTAGATGCTTCTGCTCACTACGTATCCTAATAACTCGTCTAATTAGAGCGCAACTTACTTCGACAGAAAATCTTCCTTTAAATGTTCTGAAGAACATCAGAACTAAATAAAAGCATCTCAAGAAATTCCTTGATCACCGAGGCCAAATAATCGCTAATCGCTCACGAGAAAAAAAGAAGATTCCAGACTTCCAGGCTCCTGCAAGCCCAAGGACCAAGCTGCGAAATGCCGGTGCGCGCTGCGATCTTACGGTCTGGCACTCCCCCTCCGCCGCGGGCACAGACGGCCCCC